CAAAATTGCAGAGAGTGTGATCTAAGATTAAGCAGTAGATCTTTAGAATTTTTAAGAATCCACATCTGATTGACACAACTAGTTGAATATATCTCATCACAATATATCTGAAGGCCATCTTTTACTGTAGAAAGAATAGTAGTCAGCACTTTAGAAAGATGTTTAGTCGAACATCTTGATGATCCAGCTATGTATCGTTCTTTATAGGGAGTTTTGTGTAGTTTTGGTATCAAGTATAATGACGGTAGATTTTCTTCGTCTTTTTTTTATGTTAATAACAAAAGAAAGAAGGACAAATTTGTGATTTTTCTAAAATGTCATCCTTTGTAAATGATGTTAAAGAATATGTAGGATTACCAGTTTTGCTATTTATTCCAAGCTCTTTTGTGAAACATTCCAAATAATGGTTTTTCCATATGAAGACAATATTATTGGAGGCTTTATCTGCTGGAACAACGACATATTTGTCATGAAAAGAGGATAAAGCATCCACAACCTCCTAGTTCTTGAATGGTTTAGAAACCCGTGTGATCACAGTACATCGTAGTTTCTGAATGCGCTTCTGAATGCATGATCGAATAAAGAGCTATATGACCAAAAGGGACCGACAAAAAATAGCAAAATGCGTATTTGTTCAACTTTATTGAGTGCGTTGGAAACTTATTTTCTGAATAATTTCTTATTCTTCAACGGGGAATGTTAAAAAAAGGTATGGGAGTTGTGGATTGGGGATGTTCAATGTTCATAATCTCATGAAGAATCCGTAAAAGTTTGATGGAAATTCATTACCTGGTTTAGGAGGAGTTGCTGATGGGTAATGTTTACCCCTATAATATGAAAGTTCAAGTCCATTGTTTTTTGTATGAGAAGTCCCAAAAATTATAATGATCAAAATATAAAACAGGAGTTGCACTATGACATTATGTCATAAAAAATCTGTGAAAGTTTGATTGAAATCTATTTACCGGTTTACGAGGTGTGCTGAATGGGGGTTGTTTTAAAACATAAAAGGGTCATGTTTTTTTGTATCGGAACCCATAGAAAGTTTTCTGATAAAATGTATAATAGGAGGTGCACAATGGCATTATGTCATTTATGTTTTTGAATTGGAAACACCAGAAATCATTCTGATCAAACAGAAAAAAATCAAGAGATGCTCAATGGCATATTGTCATGAAAAACCCGCGAACGTTTGATAGAAATCCTTTATCTGGTTAAGGATTTGCGGATTGGGAATGATCACCCCTATGATATGAAAAGACATGTCCATCTTTTTATATGTTTAACCCCAAAAATCAAAATGTAAAATAAGAGGTGCACAATGACATTATGTCATGACGAGTCCGTGAAAGTTTGATCGAAATACATTCACTGGTTAAGTAGGAATTTTTGACAGGAGATGTTCACCCCTATAGTATCAAATCACAAAGTATATATTTTGTACAGGAAAACCCAGAAATCGTTCTGATCAAAAGGTTAAATAGGATGTGCATAATTGTATCTAAATACCAACACCCTACCTGGATGGAAGGCATATCAGAATGACCCATCCATCAAAGCTTATCAAGCCGTTTCTAATTGTTCTGACTTCTTTGTACTGGAGTCTACATGTAATGGTCATTTACATGTTCAGAAAAGGAAAACCCAGAAATCGTTCTGATCAAAAGGTTAAATAGGATGTGCATAATTGTATTACGTCATGAAAAATTACTGAACGTTTGATTGAAATCCATTCCTTGTTTAAGGAGGAGTTGTGGATGGGTGTGTTCACTCCCATAATTTAAAAGGGCTATGTCTATTTTATTGTATGGAAAACCAAAGAAATCATTCTGATCAAAACATAAACTAGGGGTGCACAATGGCATTATGTCATTACGAATCCGTGAAAGTTTAATTGAAACCCCTTCACTGTATTAGAAGGAGTTGCGATTGGGGGATGTCATCCCTTATAATATCAAGGGGAAAAGTTGAGGTTTTTCATGGGAAACCCTATAAATTATTCTGATTAAAACTATAATAAAAGGTCCACTTAGGCAATATGTCATGACGAATCCTTGAAAGTTTAAATGAAATCCATTCGCTGGTTTAGGAAGAGTTGTAAATGAACGACGCTTAACACATATAATATGAAAGGGTAAAGTCATTTCGTTTTTAAAGCAAACCCCAGAAATAATTCTTATAAAATGGAATAAACGAGGTACTCAGTGGCATTTTGTCAAATGTTTGATTGAAATCCATTCAGTGGCTTAGGAGGAGTTGTGTTTGGGGGATGTTCACTCATATATTATGAAAGGGCAAAATGCATGTTTATGTATAAGAAACCCCATAAAGCATTCAGATCTAAAAGCAAACCTCCAATTACATGAAAGTGCGACGTCCATGCATTTGTAAGGAAAACCCCAGAAATCATTGCGGATAGAGTATGCTCACCCTCTATAATATGAAAGGGCAAACTTCATGTTTTTGTATTGAAATCCCAAGAAATCATTCTAATAAAATAGTAAAATAGGTGATGCACAATGGTTTTATATCATGAGGATTCCGTGAATAATTGATTGAAATCGATTCAGTGGTTTAGGAGGAGTTGATGACTGGAAATGTTCACCTCCCCATGATATGAAATGGCAAATTTTATATTTTTGAAAAGAAACACTATAAAGCAATCCGATTCAAAAGTAAAATAGGAGGTGCACAGGGTTTAGGAGGACTTTGGAATCGGAAATGATCACTCCTCTTATATGAAAATCCAACGTCCATGTATCTGTAAGGGAAACCTCAGAAATCATTTTGATTAAGCAGTCAAAAAGGAGGAACACAATGGGATTCCGTTATGAAGATTCCGTGAAAGTTTGATCGAAATCCAATCACTGGTTTAGGAGGAGTTGCGGATGAGGAATGTTAACTTGGTATAATCTAAAAGAGCAAAGTCCACTTTTTGTATGAAAAATCATTCTGACCAAAATGTTAAAAAGGAAGTTTAAAATGTCATTATGATTGAAATGTATTCAGTGTCTATGAAGGAGTTGTGGATTGGCGATGTTCGCTCCCTTTAATATGAAAGGGCAAATTCTGTGTTTTTGTATCGGAAAACTGAGAAATAACTCTGACCAATAGGTTAAAAGAAGGTGCACAATCGAGTAATGTTATAAAGAATCCGTAAAAGTTTGATTACAATCAAATCACTGGTTTAGAAGGATTAGTCTTTGGGAGATGCCCCAAAAAGGAGGTACACAATTCCATTTTGTCATGAAGAAATCGCGAAAGTTTGATTGAAATCCAATTACTGGTTTAGGAGGAGTTGCGGATAGGGGATGTACACCTATAATATGAAAGGGCAAAGTTTATTTTTTCGTATGCCAAACCCAAGAAATCATTCTGATAAAATAGTTAAATAGGAGATGCACAATGGTTTTATGTCATGAAAATTCTGTAAAAGTTTGATTGAAATCCATTGACTGGTTGAGGAGGAGTTGAGGATGAGGGATGTTCACCCCACTAATATATACAAGGGCAAATACCATGTTTTTGTATGTGAAACTACAGAAATCATTCTGATCAAAACGTAAACTAGGAGGTACACAATGGCATTATGTCATTAAAAATCCTTTTTAGGTAATCAGAAATCCGCAACAAATTTGCGTGAAATCACATTATTCTCTTTTTATTATTTTACAGTCCGCAGACAAACGATACTGTTGTACGTTTGTTTTTCTACATTGGCTAGAGGTATAGGGGGAGGGTTGAGATCTCAAAAAACATGTTTAACCCCGCCGCATTTTTGCGCCTGTCCCAAGTCAGGAGCCTCTGGCCTTTGTTAGTCTTGTATCATTTATAATTTTAGTTTCTTGTGTATAATTTGGAGTTTGGTATGACGTCCATTATCACTGAACTAGTATACATATTTATTTAGGGGCCAGCTGAAGGACGCCTCCGGGTGCGGGAGTTTCTCGCTACATTGAAGACCCATTGGTGGCCTTCGGCTGTTGTCTGCTCTATGGTCGGGTTGTTGTCTCTTTGACACATTCCCCATTTCCATTCTCAATTTTATTGAAAAGAGAAACGATACCAGAAAAGATTTCTGCGCAAACGCTGAAGGCTGATAAAAGGTAAACGATTTTCAATTCATTAGTATATTTATGTTTTATATTTATTTATTTTTGTTTTTATTGAGTGTTCTACTATTATTGAGGACTTCTTTCTCCTTATATGTTATTTTTTCTTTTTAACTTGTCAAAGGGCTAAAGTGAAGATTGGTTTAATGCTAATGCTGTTACCCTGTAAAACAAAGTCATTATTTACCTACCTAATTCTCTAATTGCTTATTCATTTATGTGCTCTGTATAAAAGAAAATATGGCATGATTGCCAATTAGTCCACTATTTACAATAGACCAAGTGACGAAGATGTAACTTGTTCTGTGGTTTCCTCCGGTTAGAAAAGAGGGTATATTTTTAATTGCTTTGGCTGCAAACGTCCATATGTACACTTAGACACGACGGGTGTCACATGTGGAGCAGGATCTGCCTACCCTTCCAGGGCACCTGAAATCACTCCGGTTTTTGAAGAGATTCGTGTTACTCAGTCTTCAGTTTTCTATATTGGGTTTTGTATATGGTCGTATTTTGGTCTTTTTGTACTTTATTGTCATGGTATTGTCAGTTTATTTTTTACTTGTGAGTTTGAATGTCCGTTTGGTATCTTTCGTCTCTCTTTTAGGCGGATTTGAAGGATACTTAGATCCATTATTTGTTGTCGGTGTATCATTTATAACAATAGGAAACTACAGAAATATGTGTTCACATTTTACACATTATCTACATTTTAATCTACCCAGCTTTACGTGCCTTTAGAAGAGATTTGTTTCCATTAGTATTGTATTTCATTGATTCATATATTTTTTTGTTTTCGCATACCAAATAACGTGATCAAATTCAATTGTTACGCAAAACAGACACATACAAACAATCATACACATACTATCTGTTTCCCTTTTAACATACCCTTAAGCAGGTAAGGCACGGATGATCACACACTTCTGTTGCATTGAAGGGCGGGAACTCGCTGGAGAGTTTTTCTTTTTTACAGATATTGCATGCCATATTGTCGTTTGAATATCTGTAAAAAAATTATTCATTAATAAATAATGTAAAAAGAATTATGGATAAAAACTCCTCCTTAAAAGAGGGATTTTAAAAAAAATAAAGTTTATTACCGTCACTTGTTCATGTGCCTGTATCTTGTCAGGAACCAGTATATGTTTGTCTTTTGTAATATTTTAATTTGTTTATTTTAATCATGTAATGGAATCTGGGGGATTTATGTCAAAACTTGTTGAATTTATCTAAATATTTGCTGTTTTAGGAGCATAACATATTGCATGAATGCTTGTATTTTATTGAAGACGGTATCCTGACCTTCATATGTCTTATTGTTTTAGTGATATTGGGTTAAAGTCTAAATGAATGATACTCCACATTTAACTCTAATATCTGATATCAAATGACTAGGTTATAAAAAGACCTGCAGTCATATCTAGTATGATTGCAGGTAGTTTCATTGCATGATCATTTGATATCAGCTGATTGTATCCGTCTGTAATGTAATTACAACTTTAATTCATAATCAAGCACTAAATTTAATTAGGTATAAAATATTTTGTATTGATGTTATTTGAAGTATGAGACATATTTTTGAAGATAACTGGTCAGAGAACAACATGCATTAGCATCAAGCATACAGGGACATCCATCTAGGAGCTAGTTTCATTTAAAACTACATTTCACTGACAAAGTTGTATGTGTCACAATTGAAAAAAATAAGGATTTTCCTACTTGAATCTCATTAACTTCATTGGAATACTTCAGTATTGGCCTTTAATCATAAATCAATACGGTTATCTGCCCCTGTCATGGCGGCAACCACGAAATTTATTAGCTAAAGAAAAGAAGTAGTATGTCCACTAGGAAAAAGTAATTTGTCGGGAAAAAACAAGGTAAACAGTAAACAACTTAAAAATTACTTCTACTTTAATTCAGAATGTTGTGTAAATAACAATAATTATATGATTACATAATCAACGTGAGTTGTGAGAATAGTGATTGTTTACATCGGGACTTGTCAGGTATATACTCGATAATATGGCGACTTTAGAAGCTATTGCCGATGTTAAGTCTGTTGTCATGGGTATTGATTCAAAGGTAACACTCTTTACATCTAGGCTAGACTCTGTTGAACAAAACTTAACGCATCTAATAACTGAGGTCAGGTCAGAAGTTGTGCAAGTAAAGTCAGATCTTAGTACTACACAAACTGAGGTGGAAAAGCTTAGACTAGATCACAACGAGCTAGAGAGAGGTATAGGGTACAAAGAGTCACAACTCAATACTCTAGAAATGGAAAAAATGGAATGTCTGAAAAAAAACATTGACGACAAACTTTTCGCATTGAAAGAAAATCAACTTTTTCTAGAGAAACATGAGCGTAAATACAATATTCTCATTTACGGTATAAAACAAAAACAAGATGAGAACATATGGGAAGTAGTAGACAATTTCTTTGTGAAGGAGCTGGGGATAGAAAAGTTTAAAGCAGAAAGTTTCCCCCTTGCAAATGCCCACAGGATCCCATCAAGAGCCCCAGTTGTTGGCCAAAAAAGACCAGATGCTATAATTGTGAGGTTTATGCACTACTCAGACAAACAATTAATAATGGAAAATGCATACAAAGTTGCAAATAAAAAAATCAGAGTAGTAGACGATTTACCCGTTATAATGAAAGAGGCACGAAATGATCTGGCAAAAGTTGCATATAAAATAAGAAATGACGAGAAATTACAAACCAGAATAAAAGTAAGAGGCATAATCCTGGTCCTAGAAACACGACTTAACTCAAAGGATGTGTGGAATACGCGCAAAACAATTAATTGTGTCAGATGATACAAGTACATGTATGACTATGACTACATAAATTGTAAATACAGGCTGATGCGATCTTGTGCTTTTCTTTGTTGTTTCTATGACTGAAAAACTTATCATACAATTTTAACATATTAAAATGTTCAATCTTTTGTAGGACTTGCTTGTCAGTAAGTATTTTGCTGTGTTAAATTTGTTTTTGCTTGTTTGTTTTTTCCATTATGCTTTTGTTGAAGTCGCAATCATATAGTATATACATAGGCTGCATGTTAGTTCATAGTCTTGTTATTTAAGCTTTACTTTTTTCTTTAGTTTTGGCCCAAAAAATATGTGAATTTTTTTATCATCATTCTTTGGTACATACAGGAAGAACCTAATATTATAAAAAGAAAATGTTTTATTTAAGGAGTTGTTTATAAAAACAGATTTTTTAAATGAAAAAGGAAAAATTAAAAAATGATGTAAAAATTATCTACCAGTAAACAAATAAACTCCATTCTTAATATTTTAACATTCTAATAAAGTGCTTTCATATGATCAATCCTGTGAGATTTGTATTAATGGGACAACAACCCAACAACACCCCATACATGTAAGTCAAAGGAACATATAGTGTTAAACATGTGGTGTTGGGCTCTCAAAAGTTAATATTCTTTGTACTAAATTGTTAATATTTCAAACTTTAAATCACAAACTATAATGAATACCTTTCTTTACCTAGTATGTTTTACATCAGCATCTGCATCTTTTTATCAAAATGAAGATTACATAGTACTTGAAACCCTGTATGTTCCAACCATGTTTCACCATCTAAATACTAAAATATACTGTTAGAATTATAAGTTCTAACAGGATTTTTAAAACGCTATTCATTGCTCTAACATAATTTAATGCTTCTTTTTGCTGTTTATTTAGCTTTCACTCCAATTGTTAGTGCTTTTTTTTCTATACTCATGTTTAACATGTGCATTACAAGAGCCACTACTTTGCAAGTTTTTTAACCTACATATATACTATTTATAATCAGGTCAAGATCAAATTATATACTGTTTTGTGGAGAAATATTTTCCTGTGACATGAATGCTCAATCTTAAATTGCAAAAATAGCATAAATGCTTACATGAAGATTTGTAGTATTAAGTAGAAGAACTATAAGCTAAGAAATAACTCAACAAACTATGAAACCCGAATGCATAAAGTACCATACATGTACTTTTTTTGTGTCTTTCTAAAAACATACAGCTGGGCAAAAGAGTGAAATCTGTGTACACACTTATCATGCATATACAACTAACTTTGATATATAAAAAAAAAAAAAAATGTGTTTTTTCATTTTCTCTTCCTTTTTGAATAAACCTAACTATTTGTGTATATTTGGATGAGTAATTATAAGATAACTTAAAAAAATATATAATAACTTTAATGAAATTAATGACTAAGCTAACTGTCATCTCAATCATTGACTCTCAAGAATCATTCTATTGATTCATGATGTAAGGGAGATAATCGTCTTTAGTTTTTATGATAAAGATATCACCCATAGAGCACATCATTTCTGTACTTGAAATAAAATAGAACAGCAGTGGATATATTACTTTTTGAACAACATAATTTGTTTTTAATTATTTAATTTTCTTGCTTTGTCTTTTTTTTTTTGATTATTTATGATCTCATTTTTTTCTTCTTTCTATTTTTACATTATACAAATTGTATGTCTTTTTCTCTATTTCATGTTATTGGCACAGTACTTTATATTATATTATACAGCATCGTTGGTGTATTCTGGTTACAATTAGAATTCCACACAGACATGGCAGGTGAGATCAGACATCTGAAGGATATTTTGACATTCACACACTTAAAAGTACACAGTTGTATGGGTCATTCATTTTTTTTATGTTTCATCAAAATTACATATTATTGTTTTGTTATTAAATAGAAATATCACTTGAAAATGAGTAATAATAATATAAAAATTTTCTCATACAACTGTAAAGGTCTTAATTCAAAAGAGAAGCGAAGAGATGTTTTTGATTATCTTAAATCAAAAAACTGTAATATATATTGCTGACAAGATACACATTTTTCAGAAAATGATGAAATATCAATAAAAAATCTATGGGGAGGAGAGTGCATTTTTAATTCATTTGCAACTAATCAAAGAGGGGTAGCAATTTTATTGACAACAAATTTTGAGTATAAGATACATAAAGTAAAAAAAGACGATCAAGGAAATTTGTTAGGAATTGATATGGAAATAGAAGGAAAAAGAATGACCCTAATAACCTTATATGGTCCAAACAAAGATACACCAGAATTTTATATAAAACTAAGTGAAATGATGGAAACTTTAAACAATCAGTCAGGTGTTATAACTGGAGACTATAATTTAGTACAAAACCAAAGTCTTGATACATATAATTATAAAAATAACCCAAAAGCTAAGGAGAAAGTTCTAGACTTAATAGAATTTTATAATTTAACAGACCCATTTAGGGAAATTAATCCAGACTTAAAAAAATTCACATGGAGAAAAGCTAATCCAATAAAACAAGCAAGATTAGATTTCTTTTTAATAACCCAAGACCTTAATCAAAATGTATATGATGTACAAATTCACAACAGCTATAGATCAGATCACTCCCCAATAATATTAAATCTGAAGATGAAAGATTTCATAATTGGAAGAGAATTATGGAAATTTAACAACTCACTTTTACATGATATTGAATATTCCAATACTATAAAAGACACTATACTTAAAGTAAAAGACCAATATGCATCACTAGTATATAATAGAGAAACTTTAGAACAAATAAATGATTTAGATATCCACTTTACAATAAATGACCAACTCTTTTTAGAAATATTACTTACTGAAATCAGAGGGAAAACTATTTCCTATGCATCTTATAAAAAGAAGGAAAGAGATAAACAGGAAAAAATGTTATTAGAAAAAATTCAGAAATTAGAGGAAAGCATCTTAACAGAGGAAATATTAACAGAAATTGAACACCATAAATCTGATCTTAGAATAATAAGGAAAGAAAAAATGAGGGGTTACTATATCAGATCAAAATGCAACGAATTGAAGAAGGGGAAAAGCCATCTAGTTTCTTTTTGAATATGGAAACTAAACATTTTATAAATAAAACCATCCCCAAACTAGTTAACGAAAAAGGGGACACAATTTGTAAACAA